AATAGTAATTTTTATGACAGTGAATACTTCGACAGTCAATACGAGGTTTACCCATGTGATCGCATCGTTACGGTTAGCAGTCGCGGGATGGGTGGCGGCGTACTGATCGCAGTGCGGCGCAGCCTATGCCCGTCGCAACACAATCACGAGTACTCGCCGACGCAGGCAGAAGAGGTTCGGTTATCTATCCCATTAATTGAAACATTGCCGCGTGCGGGCTGCGTGACGTCACCGCACGAGTCTAATGCTCGATCGCCGGCTCAGCGCCGTTTACATATTATAGCAACTTATATACCCCACGGTTGCAACCACGAATCACAATTGACATCGTTCTATAGAACTCTTTTACTCTGGTATACCAGAGTAAGCGATTTTATAATCTCAAATCCCGACGATACTTATATAATACTGGGCGACTTTAATGTCACTTATGCTGACTGGTATTTTAATTCTACTAGTGATTGCATGGAAATACATACAAACATTATTAATACGTAATTTAATATTAATAATAGATTATTAGATTCAATGTTTAGTAATACAACATGTAATGTTACGCGACCTGAATTTCCGTTAGTAACCGAGGACGTGCTGTGCGATAATATATAAAGCTAAAATTATTTCCACTGGCCGTGAAATATGCGAGGCTTTTAATGATTATTTTCATTCAGTTTTCATCCCTTCTACCCGTCAAAGTTCTGATCATACAATTTCTTACTCAGGCAGTTCAGCCGTAGATATACATTCTACTCGTATTAACATCTACCACGATAATGTTATCGAAGAACTGAAACAAGTAAATATTCATAAAGGTGCAGGACTCGACGGGATTCATCCTATTCTGATATCCGAATGTGCAGAAGAACTTGCAACACCAATTACAATCATATTTCGTTTCTCTGTCCAAACTGGGACATTTTCCAGTGTATGGAAAGAGTCTTTAGTAACCCCCATTCCAAAAAATAAGAGACGTGAATGTATAGACGAATACAGACCTATATCGAAACTTTGTATCTTTGGCAAAATCCTAGAAAAGATAGTAACCGCTTAAATGTCGTACTTGTTTTGTAATCACATTTCCCAGGAACAACACGGTTTCTTTAAGTGCCGTAGCGTTCACACGAATATGTTAACTTTAATGTCTTTCTGTTGCATGCCATGGATGATAACCTACAAGTGGATGCCGTGTACACCGACTTTTCCAAAACTTTCGATAAAATAAATCACGATCTGCTAAAAAAGAAGCTTGCAAAGGTCGGTGTGCATGGCAGCCTCCTTAGATGGATCCAATCCTACATAAGCAGTCAAGCAGTCTTTGTAAAGGGTTATTCGTCACGATTTCTTCCAGTACCTTCGGGTGTACCTCAAGGGTCTCATATTGGGCCTTTACTGTTTTCAGTCTATATAAATGACATTGGCAATGTCCTGAAAAATAGTCACCATCTCTTGTATGCTGATGATACTAAGTTGTATCGAATCATCAGATCAATTACTGACTGCCACAAACTCCAAGAAGACTTACACCGATTACATGCATACTGTAAGTTTAACCATCTGTTCCGAAACAGCGATAAATGCTACATAATATCGTATTCTCGCAAAAAAAAATCCCGTTACTTACGACTACCACATAAATCAGAAGGCCTTGAATAGAGTAACCACAATCAGGGACTTAGGCATAATCATGGATTCGACCATATCATTTATTCCACATATTCAGCACATATTAGCTTCGGCTTTTAAAAATCTAGGTTTTATACTACGAATAAGTAAACCCTTTAAACGTCCAGAAACTCTAAAAATTTTAGACTTCTCTTTTCAGATCTTTCCCTGATTTTTGCAGCACTGTTTGGAGCTCTTGTTATGAAGTTCATATAAGGAGAATAGAAAGAGTTCAAAAATTGTTTATTAAATCCCTAAATTATCGTTAAAATATTTTAAAACAGTCATACACCGATTCACTAAAAAAATACAATTTACTTTCTCTTTGCAATAGGCGTAAAATGTTTGACATAGTATTTCTATACATAATTATTATTAACCTAGTCGACTCCTCGTTGTTACTTAGCAGATTGTCATTTGTTTCCCGAGTCCGTCTGCCTGTGCGCCCCTCACGTCCAAAACCACTTTGCGTAACTCCCCGATATCATAAAAATTATACACGTAACTCATTTGTGTATCGTTCCACTAACACTTACAATAAAAAATTCACAGATATTGATTTATTTAATACATCAATATCAAAGCTTAAATCTGCTCTCTTTCAAAGTTTGGCTTGTGAATAATCTAGTTACCCATCACTGAAAATGTTGCAGCACTCAATTCGCTAATTGAATCTGAATTAAATTTGTCAGTGTAATAATAATCATATTTTTAACATAGGTTTCTTTCTCTCTTTTTCTTAATTGCACACGAAATGTTAACTAGTTACCTCATCTTAGAACTTAGTGTATTAATAAATAAATGAATTTATAATATCCTTTAGTCCTAAAAGTGGCTAAATAAGTTTAAAATATTGTAAAAATTTAGTTAAAGGCCTATATATATATATATATATATATATATATATATATATATATATATATATATATATATATATATAGGTCTTTAGTTATATTATTATTTATCCATGTTACCATCTACTTACATGACTGTTTGTTGCCTTAAATAAATTAAAAAAATAAATAAATTACCAAATCAACCTCAAATCAAATCGATTACACGACGACAGCACATATGTTTTGTTTTTTGTGTCTTAATATTGTCTGTGGTTCCTATAAGCATAGTAAAATCTTACGGTACATCGCGAAAAATGTGTTATATTTTATATTTCAATTTATGATAAGTAACGCAGCAGTTCATTTAATAACAGTTTCATATTAAAAAATATATTTGAAGCAATGTAATCGCCATATTTAGCTTTTGCAAATTCATCCATTTAAATAAACAAAACGCGCGTTACGTCACTTCGTTCTAAAAGAAACGTGACAATGGCAGCCGGAGATGCGTCAACTTTTTTGGGCCAATACAACTTTCAAGTTAACAGATGTTAAAAATTTACTTAAAGATGGTTTAACTCAAATCACGCCAGACAAAAGGAAAAACTGTGTTCAGCATGTCCTTAAGGTTGAACAAAAAATGAGTCCCATGGATGATAGAATTGACCAAATTGTAGATCGCTTTATAATTAATGTTACAGACAGTTTATCTGAATACACATCAAGTGAAGATACGAGTGATGATTGCACCGAATATAAATAAAGTTCTTAAATAATATTGAAAATAAAGTTTTAACTTTTGAATAAGTACGTACTTATTCGGTGTCGTTATCACTTGAATCTTTTGTGTTATAAATTAATGCTTTTTATTGTTAAATGAATAAAGTACTTTATAACAATAGATGATATTTCTTCTACAGCGATCTTTTACATTACTTTTTAATAAATATATATTTTATCAATCATTATAAAAAAATAATAATAAAGAAAGTACTACATATAAAATGTGCCTATGTATTGAAGGTTTGTAACCCCTGGTTAAACGACCGAAAGGTCATTGTCCGTTTTTCTCAATCAATTTGGCACATACTATAAATTAAACAGATCCACTACGACTTCATAGACATTGTCACCTCCAGATGCCAATGAAAAGCCCAAACCTGCCACTGTTCCTTTTCACAGTTTTGGTAATTTTGTCGAGAACATTTTCAGGTAAGTCATAAGTGTTGCAGCTTTTCTTATGATTTTTTTTATTGATGGCGTATCACAATATTTGACTTCACTATTTCAGTTGACATCTGGTTACGTAGCTAACTTTGACAATAGTCATAACGTTGAAAATCCGCTATACTTCGGCGTTTGAATATGGAAGCGACAGCACGTTGATAGCTAAGTCCACTAATTCCCGAAAGGCATTCATCCTAGCCACATTTGTGTATCTGGAGACTAGTGCCCAAAATTTCACTACATCATCACCATCACCTTCTTATTTGACTAATTGAATTCCATACTATTTGCTCCCACTCAGATCTATTTTTCTGGCTATAAGCGTTCTTCCTCGGTGGCACCTCCATTTGAATTTATCACGAAACAAACAAAACTTCGCTAAAAGACTAACACGAAACTTCAAAGCGAGAAAAAGTTCAGTTATCAGCATCAGTCAGTAACGTATAGGTATAGACTTGGAATATATACTCCTACATATTTATATATCTATGATATAGACGGCTAGAGTGTGCAAATTTCATCAATCTCTTTTTCTTCATCTCATACCTCAGTGTCAAAAACTACGTATTTCTGAGACCAGAATAATGCTATTTTTGGTTAATAGCACTCCTAACCATCTGAATACCAAAGAAGAGTTTCAGTTTTTTGACTGTTAGACCAAAGGTATAGACTTTTATTATATAATAAGGTATAAGCGAAGGGGTATTTTTTATTATGTGCGAGCAGCTATGCAGGTCTAGGGAAAGAAACCAGTATTACTGCGACCTAAAAGATCTATTGTGATCGCTAAGGCCATAGTTCACTCCTAGGCCCCAAGTCTTCAATGAATTGAGGATTTAGTTAGCAGTAGTTGCTTAGCTGTGAGCAATTTCACTTCTTCTGGGCGGAATACATAGTTTCCCAGATGAGTGTTACGTTTGCGCATTAAGGGTCCGCAATCAGTTAGGTTGTGCAGAGGCGTTTCTTCCGTTATGGAACAGAACCGACACATCCTTGAATTGCTTAGTCCCAGGATGCCATGTAGTTTTTAAGAAAATAGTGTCCAGTCAGGACTCTTGACAGAATGCGAATGCGGATTGCCAGGGCGCGTCTGGAGCTGGTGCTGGACGCGAAAGCATGCGAACCGCCAGCCGAGTGAGAGGTGCTGCAGGACCACCCATCAGCCCATCGCATCCATCATCCGCACCAGCTGGCTTGGTGTCGGCAGGATCTTCGTGGACCCAGCAATCGACACCCGCCACTGGTGGAGTACGCCGCATGCGATGGAAAATCAAAATGGGGAAAGGGGGAAAGGGGGGAGAAGTTGGAGGTTTGGCATACCGGGCTAGGATGCATCGTCTTTTTGCTGAGCTGGAGCCTTCTATAACCGGCACAGAGCGAAACCTGGCAGACCGAGTTCGGTATATCTTGCGCTCAAATATATTTGATGTCGCAGAACTCGAACGGCTACGACGTGAGGCTGTTCCTTCATCGGTGAAAATGCTACGGCTGAGGGTGCGGCGCCACAACTTGCAGAGCAAACGGAAAACGTGGATGCCGCCGTGAATACCCCAGTTGTAGTTGATTCAAACGATGATGGAACAATCGCCCAGGAGCTGGAACTAGAGCAAATGTGGAGTACATTGGAAGAGGCGATTGTGGAAACGCGTAGTACGCCTCTCGAAAATCGACCGCGACTTCCCCGCATAGCCCTAAGCAAGCGGAATCGGGCTGTCATGAGGGCTCTGAACCCAATGCTGGTGACCTATTTGGAAGCCAGCCGGGACCTTTGCGAGACGGACTCAGTTTTAAGAGGCTCTCAACCAGAACTCGCTCCCAAGCCTCTTCACTACTGAGATCACTCATTTGGTTCTTAAAGACCAGGGTACCACAGACCCGAGCAAATACCGCCCCATCACGTGTCTACCGACCATATACAAGACACTAACGTCTATTTTGAGTGCGAGAATCACTCGTCACCTGGACTCAAATCAGGTGATGTCGCGCGCTCAACATGGATGTCTGGCCAGCGGTCGTGGAACCAAGGAACCACTCCTCATTGACGCGGTCATTGGCAAAGTGGTGAAACGCAACCGTCGGAACTTCTCCGCTGCCTGGATAGACTACAGAAAGGTTGACTCGGTGCCCCATACATGGCTAAGGACCTCGAGCTGTACAAGATTGACTGTACAGTTAGAGACTTCCTCGAGCGGTGTATGAGGCAGTGGAGTACGATCCTTTGTCATCTGGGCGAGCGGATGATGGCTGCGGAAAACCACATAAGGATAAGAAGGGGTATCTTCCAGGGCGATTGTCTGAGCCCAATCTGGTTCTGCCTTTCTTTGTACCCTCTCAGTACTTTACTGGAGGGCTCCGGGAGGGGTTTTCAGCTTCGGAAAGGAGGTACAAAAGTGTCGACCCACCTTTTTATATGGATGACCTCAAGTTATTCGCCTTCAGTCGCTCCCATCTTGTGGAATTGCTAAACATCACTTGTGAATTTAGCAATTCTATTGGAATGGAGCTGGGGACGGACAAGTGTGCGGTCCTCCATGTTGAAAGGGGAACGGGTTGCTAACTCTGAGGGTATAGACTTATCTATGCCCGTCAACACCTGTAAGCTCTGACAGCGCGCGACATGTTATACTCCCGTTCGCTCGGGACCGTAATGGCGGGAAAATTTGCAAATTAGCAAATTTTTTGCCATATTGTAAATTTTGCTATATTTTCACTTTGAGACAATATTTATGGATAAAACTTACAGGAATTCTTGTTGAATGTGTAAACTATCGAATAAAATTATTTTTGGTTGCTAGAAATTGTAATAAAATACGTAAATTACCCTGTATAGCATAGTAGTGGTATATACTTCAATTTTAAGTGACTAAATTACTACTAATTTGAATTCTACACTTTTGTTTTTAGAGAAATTTATATGAAAATGTTTGGAAATATGTATATTTTTATGTTTTACGTGTTTCCATTCGTTACTCATACCAAAATATTAAAATATTAAAAAATTAAAAAAAATAATAATAATATTTTATCTGTATGACATTTCGAACAATATTTCAGACATATTTTTGTGTGAATTTGAAATAAATACAACGTCAAGTTATTTGAAATATGTAAGAAAACTATTTTTACTTACATTTTACACTAAAAATAGATGAGAATTTGGAAAATAACACATTTATGACCCAACCGCCAAAATGGAGCTTCCGGATTTTGAAGTACTTTTGGCAATTTACTTTTCACTTTTTATACCACAAATTATATATCTACCACCACCACCACCAGTATTCTGGTATTCTGTGCAAATAAATGTTTCTTTCTTTCTTTCAAAATAAACAACTTTAAAAGTTTGTATGTTTTGATAATTTTAAAAGAAGTGCTTATTCATAAACACGAGTTTATGGTTAATATTTCAATCAGTCATAGAAGAGACACTTAAAATATGTATGTATTACCAATTTCGCAAAGGGACTATGTTTGCGTATTTCCAATGTCCAACGCTGCATGGGAAAGGATATTCTCTTAAATAAAATTAATTAAGACAAAAACAAGAAACAGATTTATAAACAAACATGTAGCGTCTATCTGACACGTTGCACAATGCGTTGGTGATTGGTGCGTATGGCGATTGCATTGCGTTCAAACCAACGAAAGATATTATGTTAAATCGAATGAATAAATCCATGTATAATAATGAAAAAAATGAAAAATATGATGCTAACTGCAATGTTTAAATTTGATTTAATAAAATATAGCATTCGAATGTGAATTTTTACTTTTATTAGTTTATTACAATGGTAAATAAAGTTGGCAGTATTTAGGCGTTTTTCGCTACAGACTTTGGCAGGTTTTTAACTGTAAAGTAAGGCGGGATCTGTATTTTAAAGATGGTAACACTGATTGCATCCTCTACTCTATCTCTTTTCAATTCCTCTTACCCTCTCACTTCTTCAAACCGGGCGTGTGTGTGGCACTTGCTCGCTTAAATTTTATATATATTTTAAAAAAATGGCTTTCGGAGACGTAAAAACTGATCAAGGCATCAAGGAACTGAACACATTTTTGTCTGACAAGAGTTATATATCAGGGTAAACACATAAAATTATACTTAGGTTATAAATTTAACACGTAACCTTCACATTGTAACCTCTACATTTGAGACAACTTTTAAAGTAAACTCATCTTTTATTTAGATACACACCAACTCAAGCCGATGTCAAGGTATTCGAGCAAGTAGGGAAGGCACCGGCCGCTAGCCTTCCTCATGCACTGCGTTGGTATAAGCATATCGCCTCATATTCAGTAGCCGAGCGTAAAACTCTCCCTGAAGGAGTAACTCCACTTAACGCTGGCGCTAAGACCACTACAACAGCTCCGCCTGCTAAAAAGGAAGAGGATGATGACGATGATGTCGATCTATTCGGTTCTGGTGACGAAGAAGAGGTTAGTTATACTAAATCTAAAACTCAAAATGTACTAAGCTTCTTATAACATTAGGTTGTTACTAGTTAGTCTACATCATAGAATGAATGGTTGATTATTATAAATAATCACAGATGCAATGTCTCCATCTAATAGATAGTAGTATAAGGCTCTAGGGTAACATTATGTCGCACATTGAGAAGAAGAACGTCACTAAACAAAAAATGTAGTTTTGAGGAATAAGCATTTAAAGTATGAAAAAATGACACCATTGCAGTTTTTGACTTCGAAACTATTTTTTGATGCTGTTTTCACTAAAAATAATAGAAAACTATTTTAATATTATAATTTACTTTTTATTATTAATTTCTTTGACTTGTAATGTTGATTTTTTTATAAAAATTTGTTTAGTGTCATTCTTCTTTTTATTATTACTGCAGAACCAGTGACAAGTTGTAGTCATAAGAGTCACAAAAGCGATGTAATTTTTTTAAAATTACATTACTAATTTCAAATTAGTTGCGAAATATCGAAAAATAAAACAAAGGAATACATAGTTATGTATTTTTTATTGTCTGACAGTTATCTTTGGGAGTGTTAACTATTACTATCAATAGTAATGGTGACTAATTTTATGAATAATTATTCTAATTGTAAGCTTACCAAATCAGTCTCCGTAGTAAATAATCATTAATCTGTCGTTATTTATTAGAATATTAATATTATTTTACTTAAGTATTAGGAACATTATAGATCAAGTACTAAACTACCAATCTAAAAACTAAAAATAATAATTTAGTACCAAAACATTTTTCAATAAAATCTATAAAATATAATAGTCAAACTTAAGGCATAAATGTGTAGTAAATAAAGTATATCAATTTACATAGCAAATCAAATAACATGAGATCAGTTAAAAATTGAGATCAATTAAGAATAAAATTGTAGAAAGAAGAAGCATAGTAAAGTGGAATAGCACGCTCGCTAATAAGTTTCTTCAGGTCAGCTTTTTTAGCAGCAGATAAAGATATTCTTGATGAATATAATTGTTTTAATTGAGGTCTGGCCCGGCTTAACTTTTGCAAATTTATTTCTTTAAATGCATCTTGTAAATAAGAAGTTTTATAAAAAACTCTTATGCCATCAGACACATTTTCCGACATTTTAACTTTTAAAACTTTAATATCACTAGTCTTAACCTTTTCTCCTTCTTTATTTTTCACAAGTTTATATTCTTGTAGGCTCTTTATGTCATAAAATTCGTAATGACTCATTTCCTTTACTATATATTTATTTCCCCTTTTTTTTGCATCTCTTATAGCACTTACATACTGGTCTGGAACATAAATTGGTCCTGACCGTAGATTCTTTTTAATTTGTTTTTCAATCGTGGAATGTGCAGCATCTCCTTCATTCTGAGTATGCCCTTTTATCAAGAATTTATGCGTTATTGACCGAATTTTATCGAGATTCTTAACTGCATAAATGTACATAGAAAATACAAACTGGTTTTTCTGCTGCCCACCACAATTGTCACTGTAAAAAATGAAATCTAATGCCTCAGATGCAGCTGCTGTTTTATCTTGTAAATACTTTAAAACACAAGAGCCTATTTCATTGGCACCTCTGTCTCCTTCAACCTCAGTCCAAAAGAAACATTCAGTATGATCCTTTGCCAATTCACAAATTGTAAAATTTAAACAATTCAATCGGGATCTATAATAAAACTGACTCGCATTACCTTTAGGTACTTGTAGAACAGCTTGTAAATCGTAACAGGCTACTATGTTTTTTTCGCTTACGGCTTCCTTATCTTTCAATTTTTCTACTCGGCTTTTTTCTTTTTCTTGTAAATGAATTCTGTGTTCTTCTTCGAGCTTTTCCTTTTCTGAAGGTTGTGAATTTTGATATTTAATGCAGTCTCCACATTGGTCTTTCTTCGGAATATAAAAACTAATATTAAATTCTTCTTTAAAAAATTTTCGGTACGTGTGGATTTTAACATATGGCAGTCCGTTCTTTTCGCAATCATTTTTATAGTCTGTGTGTAAATCGGTTAGTGTTTTTCCTCCATCAATATATTCTCTGCTTGTTTGTTTCCTTAATAAATGACTTTCGATTCTAGGTAT